AACAATATAATAAATATAATATAATTAATAGAATAGAATATAATTAGTATTTCTAGTAATAAGTTAAACTGGGTAAGAGAAAGGGATAAAAGGAAATTATTCTGTTTCATCTTTTCCTATAAATATAAACAAACACTTTTAACTATAAAGGCTATCAATGTTTAGTGGATAAGAAGTTGTGTTGCCACCCGAAAGGCAAACCATTCAAATCCACCAGCTGTTCCTCAGGACAAAAATGGGCAACCTCCTCCCGTGTGATTTACAACCTCTGCAAATCCTCTGGAGGGTTAGCTATGAGTTGGTTCCAGCTTGACAGCAGAAAACCAGTAACATTAATAAAAGGAACAAAAATCCCTGAGGAGGGGAACGATGTCAGAGGGTTGTCTCTCACAATACAGTATAAATTGATGTTACATGGCCCAAAGGATAGAATTAGGCCAAAGCTTCTGGTCCATTAAAAGAAATTATTTTCTGAACCAGTGCTCTCATGAGGACCCCGACAGTCTTTGAAAGGGTCCTAAGTTCCCATTGTAGAAGAAACAAGGCAGGCCTAATGAGCATCTCTGAGAAATGTGCATGGAATGGGGACTGGGCAAAATGTGACCTCCAAAGTCATATCTGTCCCTAAGATTCCTCCATGTGCCTCAGTGAACATACCCTAAATGCAATCTGGATCCTCCTGGGAAACCAAGGTTGAAAATCATTGCTCTAGAACAGTCCTTTCCTGCCGTTGTCACTTGATGGCACACACAGGAAATGGTAACATTTGTATAGCAACTGAGGTTAAAGAGAGAAAGCAGTTCACATCAGATGCTAGCAGCCAGGGCTCTAGCTACCCAAGGCGTGGCCAGGCTACCTCCAAGGCTGGTGGGCTTTTTGTCTCTGCACACTCTTCTTCCATTCTGAGACACCAGTAGTCTATAGAATTTCATGAACTTGCTCACTGATTGTTGTCTTCAGCGGCCTCCTCAAGAGACGCATGGCATATCCCATAACAACACTCCATTCTACCACAGCATTCCCAGGAGGCAGGAAGAAGCAGACGTGATCTCCCATCCTTACAGTAGCAAATCGAATTCTTTAAGAGAGTGTTTCATGACATTGTTCTGTGGTCCTTTCACTGACCTCTGAGACAACATGAGAAGAAACTCTTATACTCCTAAATTCTATACTAAAATGTTTTCATCTCCTATACCAAAAACCTACTTTTTCACAGGTATTCATAATAGATTGTTGTGTTCTGTCAAGTTGGAACCAAC